CTCACTATTCGGGATTCATGCTGGACATGTCACTGCAGCTGCCGCCGCCGCCACCGCCCTTGCTGACGCAGCCGCCGCCCCGACTCTCCGCGCCACGGGTAATGGAAGGGAAGGAATGAGCTAAGCTGTTCCGGTAGAGCAAACGTCGACCCCACTCCGACCCTTAGAACACAATCAGCAGCCGCCGCCACTCAGTGATCGCTTCCACCCAAAATGGCCGCCGGCGAACCAGGAACTAGGGAAGCCTAGGCCAAGGGGCCTGTCGCGGCCCAGAGGGCGGCCGCGTCGCGCGGCACGCCGGGAAATAGAGTCGTGAGCGCACCGCACGCTGGCCAGCCTGACGGGGCCGAGGACAGCTTGCACTCAGCTTCCCACCAGGCCCCGCGCCCAGCACGCGTGCGCACCTGCGAGCTTGTCGTCCGCCCCGTCCGGATTCCCTCACCCCACACCCCGCCCTTCCTGCTCCCCTCCCCTCTGGCTTGCTGGCTAGGACTTCGCTCGGACTCCCCCTAGCGGATTGGCTAAGGCCGAGCGGGCTGTGTTGATGTCATCAGTGAGACGTGGCAGCTGGGCGAGTCGGCGCCCCACGGGAAGGGGAGGGGAAGGAACCCGGCGGAGGGCGGTGCCGCATCCGAGGGGGTGGGGGCTCCTGGGGACTCCAGGACAGAGTGAGGAGGGGCCATTGGGGCTGGAAGGGAGGTATGAGGACCACCTCCCTGCTCTGGCGCGACCCTGGGGGCCATCCACACGAGCCTCCGGACAGCTCTAAGAACAGAAGGAAAGTCAAGCCGCCTCTGTGGACCTTGCGCTTCTTATTCACCCGATCCGTTCTTTTCTCATTTTTTAAAAACCATTTTACTTTAGCAACCTGACATTGCAGTAGCTGCAAATGGACCCTGCTTTTGTCTCTTTTCTGCCGCCCCCCACCCCAGTCCACTTGCACATACAGCCAGATTTATCTTTCTGAAACTGCGACTCCATCATGACCTCCCAACCTTCAAAGGCTCCGCATTGTGTGGTTGAGACACAGGCTAGAGTCAGCCTAAACCAGTCTGCCTACTTGAGGCCTAGACTTATAAAGTTGAATTGTTGGGGGTTTTGTTTTTGTTTTTTCAGGTCTGCTGTTGTTTTTGTTTGTTTTATTAGTTAGTACTTAATTCTGTATCGTTCTGCAAAATTGGGCAGTAACAAGTAATTTTTTTTCTTTCTTTTTGTTTTTTTGGTTTTTCGAGACAGGGTTTCTCTGCGTAGCTTTGGAGCCTATCCTGGGACTCGCTCTCGAGACCACGCTGGCCTCGAACTCACAGAGATCCTCCTGTCTCTGCTTCCCTAGTGCTGGGATTAAAGGCGTGCGCTACCAAAGCCCGACAACAAGTGATTTTTTTTTTCAAGCCATGCAATTCTTCACTACAGACTCCAGAACTAATATTAATACATTTTTAGACCTTATGCTCTTAACTTTAATCAGCTCAGGAATTTAAATGTTGACTAAACTTTAACACATTATCTTCGGTTATTTATTACAAAGGGCATAGTATAATACACTGTCCAAAGTTTATCTTCCAACTTGTTCTAAGCAAGAATATTATCTCCTGAGACCGACTGCAGAATTACTTTAAATTTCTGTGACATCAAAATAAGCAAAAGAGGCTGTTGTCATTTCTAACCAGATACTCAGTACCTCTTTACATGCCCCACCACCACCACCACCCTTCATGTGCCTTGATTGACAGCCTCATCAGATTATATATAGGTTTTGGGATTAGGGGTTTTTTTGTTTTTATTGTTGGTTTTGGGTTTTTTTTGAGACGGGTTTCTCTGTGTAGCCCAGGCTGTCCTGGAGCTCACTCTGTAGACCTCAAATTCAGTAATCCTCCCTCCTCTGTGATAGAATCAAAGGCCTGTGACATCCCCAGCGCCATCACGATGTCCCATAAGGGTTCTTTTACATGTTAACTTCTCAAATGGACTTGGTCACCACCCAAAAATTACCCTAGATGAAAAATGAAGCACCACAAGTGTGTAGCCCTGGACCCTGAAGCCTACAATATTTCCTGCTCATTGTCATTTTACAAAATAAAACCTCAGAAGTAGCCCCAAACTCAATTTTTCAAGCAAAATTTTATTTTGGTTTTTTGTTTTGCTTTTTTTTTGTTGGTTTTTTTTTGGGGGGGGGAGGGGTGGATTTGCCATTTAAACCCAGTGTGGCAGAGCATATCTTTAATCCCAGCACTTGAAGGCAGAGAAAATTGAGTTTGAAGCCATCCTGGTCTACATAGTAAATTCCAGGAGAGCCAGGACTACATAGTGAGAGTGGTCTCAACCACCCCCCCTAAATAATCTGTCATTTAATTTTAATTTTATGTATATGAATGCTTTCCTGTATGTGTATGTATGTGCATGTTGTGGTGTGTGTGCCTGGTGCCCTCAGAGATCAGAAGAGAGTATTCGATCCCTGAAACTGGAGTTACAGATTGTTGTGAGTCATCATGTGGGTGCTGGGAACTCAACATGAGTCCCCAGCAAGAACAAAAAGTGCCCTTCGTGGATGAACCATCTATCCAGCCCAAGCTGGGTTTTTATTGATGATATTTTAATATAAACTCAAGCATAAATGTTAAGGGAGACTGCAGACTCTCAGAAAGAAAAGCACACTACAGAGCATGAATGTTGGCTTCTCTAAGAGATACTACCACCAAAACTCCATTTTTTATCTGTCTGTCTCCTTGGAAGTTAATTTCCTCAACTTTCTTTCATTAACTATTTCGTTTCCTAACAAATTATCTAGTAACATAACCTAAGTGGCAAACAAAACAGTGTGAAGTATATAGCACAATTCCTCCTTGACACCCCTAAAGCTTAACTGTACCTGCTGTATAAAGAGGACAGGAAACTTCATGTCTTAGTTACTGTTATAACATGTAAATGGATTAGAAACAGTCATGGCTATAGAGTGGTGAGTGCCAGCTTCCTAGATCCTACTGCAACACAGGTGTCACTTATATTAAGATTCCTTCCCACAGGGTAGGAATCCCAGCACTTTAATCCTAACACTCTGGAGATAGAGGCAGGCCTCTGTGAGTTCCAGAACAGCCTAATCAACAAAGTGAGTTGCAGGACAGCCAGAGCTACACAATGAAACCCTGTCTCAACCCCCACTCCCCCCACACACACACCCAAAAAAGATTCCTTCCCATGGAACTGAAGAGATGGCTCAGAAGTTGTAAACAATTACTGCCCTTGTAGAGGACCCAGGTTTGGCTCCCAGACCCCACATGGTAACTCATAGCCATCTATAACTAGTTCCATACAACAACACAAAGCCTTCTTCTGGCCTCTTCAGGGACTGCATTCAGGTGATGTACATACATACATACATACATACATACATACATACATACATACATACAGTCAAAACACTCATATAAAAAAAGTAAATAGCTGGGTGGTGGTGGCTCGACTCAGGAAACAGAAACTCACAGGCAGATCTGTGAGTTTGAGGACAGCCTGATCTATAGAGCTAGGGCTACACAGAGAAGTAGCCTAGAAGAGCCATCTTGTCTGGAAAGACCAAAAATAAACAAAATAATAATTAAGTACTTCCTTTACAAACTTAGATGTATGTTTTTCTCTCCTCACCCCGCCCCACCCCAGACAAGGTCTCACTTTGTAGCTCTGGCTGTCTTGAAACTCACTCTGTAGACTAGACTGCCCTTGAACTCACAGAGGTCTGCCTGCCTCTGCCTCCCAAGTGCTGGGATTGAAGATGTGCACTACTATGTCCATCTCTTAGATGTTTCTTAAAATAATTTCCCTCTCCCTTCTTCCCTCCCTTCTGCCCTCCCTTCTCCTCCCCCCTCCTCCCTCCCCCCTCCTCCCTCACTCTCCCAGATGTATGTGTGTATGTGCATAGTGCTTGACCATGTATCTCCATATAAAGGCTAGAGATCAACCTCAAATGTCTTCCCTGGAGCTCACTCACCAGTTGGCTAGACTAGTTGGCCAGTGAGATCCTGGATCCTTCTGTCTGTAGTGCTGTGAGATGCTATGGATGTGCATCACCTGCCTTTACATGGTTTTTTAGCTATCTCCCCAGCCCTGAAACCATACCTTTAACAAGTTTTGCTGGATCAAACTTTAATATAGTTCATGTTTAAGTTTTTGCCAATGATTCAGATTAATAACTCAAAATAACCAAGCATTGGTGGCTCCCTCTTGTAACCCTAGCACGGAAAAGGCTGAGACAGGTAGATTGGTGGAAATGTGAGGGTAGTCTGAGCTACATAGTGAGTTCTAACTTTGGCTACATATGAAACTGACTCAAAAACAGAATAATTCATTAAAATGCCATGTCCTCTGCTAGTTGCCCTGCTGTTGAATCAGAACCTTTCTAGAGGGTGGGGGTATAATCAGTAGCAGAGCACAGACACATTGTGAGTGAGGCTTGGGGTTATTCTCAGCTAGAGACAACAGAATGGCTCTTCTAGGCTGTTAGCTTTTTCTTTTTAAAAACAAAAGGAAAAAAAAAGACTTATTTTTACATATGTGTGTCTGTGTGTGGGTATTTGCACATGTGTGCAGGAACCTGGAGGAAACCAGAAGAGGACATTAAATCCTCTGAGCTGGAGATACAGAGGGTTGTGAGCTGCCTGACAAGAATTCGAGGCCCTCTTCAAGGGCAAGGATTACTTTTAATCACTGAACTGTCTCTCCAGCTCCCCCTTCTCCTGGTCCTCCTTCACGTGTTTATTTTGTGTGTGGGTGAATGGGGGGTGGTACATGTCAGGGCACACACATGAGGGGAGAGATAGGTAAGTGTATGGGGTACATGTCAGGGCACACGAGAAGGCAGAGAACAAGTTTCAGGACTCGGTTATCTCACCAAGTGGGTTCTGGGATTCAACTCAGGTGCCAGGCTTAGCAGCAGGCCCCTTTACCTGCTGAGTCCCCAGCCCCCCCCCTTATTATTTCCTTTCTTTCTTTTTTCCCTCCCTTCCTTTCCATTCTCTTTTTCAGATACATATGACCTGGCACTTAATAAATGTGTGTGCAACTTGTTCTGGGTTTGCGGGAGGAGTAGGTGTGTTTTGCTGTTTTGAGACAGAGTCTCATATAGCCCTGGCTGGGCTCAAGTTCACTATATATTTGAGGATGGCTTTGAATTCCTCAGATCCTCCTTCCTCAGTTTCCCTTTGCTGTGATTTCTAGCATACTCTACCATGCCCAGCCACACTTGGAA